AATATTGCAGTTTTTGTTAGGCGCTAGCCAAATTCCCAGTTGTTTTTACAAAAGGCAACAAATATTCATAATTAAATAAGAAATAAGTGATTTGTTTTAAATGCTACTTTCATCTAAATCCATCTAAATCTACACCCAGTGGAGTAGCCCTTATCCAAAGCTTAGTCATAAAATTGAAACTGCACAGGGGTTGGAGAACAACATTGTATTTGTTTGCAACTATTAGCACAGAATAAGTAATAGTACAGGTACAGAAGGATTACTCCGCAAGACGATTAAAATAAATGCGAGTCTTGCTACGACGCGATACAGTGGAATTCAGCTCGCACAGCACTACGTACCTACAATTTTATTCACCTACAAGTTTTGTCTCTTTCTATCGCGTGCCTCTGAACTCTTCTTACGCTGTTAGGGTTGCTGTCTAGTGAAAAAATAATTAATCTACTTATTTGTAATGAGGTACGTATGTAGGTAAGTANATTTCCAAATTGTAAATGGCTATTAAACCAGCCCTATCGAAATAAAGTCCACTCTTTTATTTAAGTTCCCAGTAGGACCCTTTTCATGCGATTAATGAATGATATTAAAATGTATTAAGTAGAATCGCTTTGCCATTGACAGATACATCTGATGACAGAGCTTACATTATTTCTACTTTTGACCACCATGAGCGCTGCGATAGATTATGTTACCCCCACCTAGTACTTCGCACCCAGCGAATAATGAGCTTTGAAAATGAAACTGAGCCGCGTACTCCCCCTGAATCCGACCCTGCCTGAAATTACAGCGCAACAATAAGTTGTGAGCTTCAGCCCAAAACAATAGGGGTGATTTGCATCCACATGCATTTAGGCATTGTGTATTTTATTGATACGCTGGACTGACGACGCCATTGTGGATGTGGGTCAGGCTTTATCATATATGCCTGACAACAATGGGACACCAGCTTACGTAATTGACCCATTCCAAACGCTGGTTTCATTGTTTGTCAATTGTTTTTGAGTTATTTACACCTGACTGAACAATTTTGAGGCTGGGTTGCACCATCTTACTTTAACTTTGACAAGCGTCAAAAATCTGTCAAACTCCATACAAAAAACATCGGTTATCGTTATAGTTACGGTCAAAGTTAGGTGTTGCAACTCAGCCTTAATACTGGTTTTGTCAATTGTTTTAGAATTTCACACCTAATTGAACAATTTCACTGGCTGGTTAATAAATGACTTGAATTTGAATTTAACCACTAGTTCTGGTGTTGTAAAATCTGTTTGACTGTGAATTTGTTGGCACAATTTTGTGAAATTTATTATATGACTGGCTGTGGAGATTACCTTCAACAGCAGTGTTAGTCTAAATAGCAAATAGTTTCTGTAGTTAACTGTAAAATCTGTTATATTTCTGCCTTCTAGTTTATTTTTATTATTAGATATTCTAGTCTTTTTATTATTAATTTCTGTCCATTTTACAATCTACACTTCTCTAAGGCTGAGTTGCACCATCTTACTCTAACTTTGACAAACGTCAAAAATCTGTCAAACTCCATACAAAAATACCGGTTATTGTAATTGTTACGGTTAAAATAAGGTGGTGCAACTCAGCCTAAGATATTGTAATTACTATACTTGCATTTGGTGCTCAGATAATTTGGCAAATAATAATAATAGTAACCTACGAAATAAACAAAATTTTGTGCTTCTTACACAATATTTGTTTGGGATTATGAAACACTGAGATTACCTCAGAAGTAAACAAAAGTGCCTATTTAGTTACAGTGGTAAACGTTGCATATAAGCAACTTACTGACCTGAAAACTGTTTATTATTGACGAAAATAGCAATTTCGTAAACGATTTTACGTTAAAAACCAAACATGAACTTACATTAAATTAACTGGAATTGGGTCATAAAAGACCTCTTTTTACGATAAGTAGAGAAAATGCACTTCTAAACAGCTGTAGCATTACAATAAGTGCACTGCAATTACATAAAGACAAATGCGTCCGAAACATAATTCATTGAATTGGCTGAGAAATAAAGCTTAGTTCGCAATAAACTGAAAAAAAAAATAGGACACATTGAGGAGATGTCAGTAATCGTTATGTTGATCTTTCTCATGACACACTATTCACAAGTCACTTCTAAGTAAGGCGTAGGTAATCAATATTATTTTCTTTAGTACAATTATGAATTACCTAACCAATATAATTAGTTTAAGTAAATAGGTATAAGTATAATAATTAGGCTTTTGTTGTAATATTGTGCAATATTGCAGTTTTTGATTGGCGCTAGCCAAATTCCCAATTGTTTTTTACAGAAGGCAACAAATATTCATAATTAAATAAGAAATAAGTGATTTGTTTTAAATGCTACTTTCATCTAAATCCATCTAAATCTACACCCAGTGGAGTAGCCCTTATCCAAAGCTTAGTCATAAAATTGAAACTGCACAGGGGTTGGAGAACAACATTGTTTTTGTTTGCAACTATGTCGTATTTCAAAGGAGGACTATAAATCTATATGTGACTTTTACGAGTAAACCATGGCGACTGATTTGACTAAAGGTTTAAATTTGGAGATAGTAGACTAGTAGTAGAGTAATAGTAGGGAGTAGATGCCAGTTTATTGAGAAAATAACCTACTGTTACACTTTGGGCGATTTTGAAAAAGGACTTTTTAGAAAATAAGTTCATTATATTGGAGGCAAGATAGCCAGTTCAAAATTGAGAACTGGCAATCTTACCTCCAACATAATGGCTATAGACTAATTTAAAATAGTAGTAGCTTGGACATTGCTTCACTTAGCTAATGGTCGTAGGCTTAACTTATCAAAGTGTACTTAGAACAGGCGTCCTTCTATATTGAGGTATGAGAGTAGGCGCACACCGTTGATTTTTAGTTGGCCGATAGTTGTGCCCGATTTTAAATAGTATGAAGAATCGGCCAAATCGAATCGGCGTAGTGTGCGCACTCCCATACATGCCCATACTGATCAACTGCCCGAATAACTATCGGCCGACAAAAAACCAACGGTGTGCGCCTACTCTAACTGGTATAACTAAAACAAGAATCGAACACAAGTTTGCGCCATTATTTGTCTTGTGAATCGGGCAATCGCCTACGCCGAAAACCACATTGCCTAGGCAACAAGAGTTCAGGGGTGGAAGGACAAACGGTAATCAATACTAATAATGAACATAATGGCTGAAGTTGAGCCAATATACGAAGTTTGGGCCCTGCCCTGGGGCGTTATGACGCACCTGCGAGCATTGTCTTTTATCTGTGGACGGTTGTAAGGGTGTTGCCATATTATAGAGATGTTACGTCATCGTAACTTTTCGTTTAATATTTCTCAATAACCGTGGGTATCGATGTCTCTGCATTTCCCCCGGCACAAACTTGACCTTCACTGGTTGGGGTTTTATTGGCGGTCAAGCTGTAAATCCTGGCTACACAGGAGTTGCAGGAACGAGAGGTGGGAATAGTCCCGTCTCTGCATAAGTATTATTGTAGTGACAAAACGCGGTCATACTAGGCTTCTTATGCTCTCCGACAACTTGAGGGCACGCTTTGGATGCCGCTCCGGTCACATCGCCATCTTCAATGAGCTGTGCGACAGGGTGGCACTGCTCAGTTTACTTCCTCTTCCATTGTATGTTTTATGTGTTTGTTACCTCTGTCTTGTTTGCTTTTTTTATCTTTTGTCTTTTGTGATGTCCATGGCAATAAATGTTTGTTTGTTTCTTTCTTTCTTTCAATTCGTATCTTGCTACAGGCCCGTCGACGCGTGTGCTAGTGTGCATCCTCATTGTCTCGGTAGGTAATACTCGTACTTATGCGTAGGGCTAAAAATAATTGTATCGACTATCTAACCGTAGTTATATTAGCGACCGAAATAAGTCATTGATTATAAGCATATTTAGTTAGTTTATCTAAGACAAATGAAACAAATTCACGGTAAAAACCAGATCTTACGTAAAATTTGTAGTTGGGGAAAACCAACCTTGGAAAGTTATACAAAGGTGAACGAATCGATGATAAATAAATACGTGTAATATCCTCATTGTATAGACTTCGGACATTATGCAGTGGAAATCTTCAATCAGGCTGTTGATACGATTAGACATTACAAAAAGTTAGTTAGAAAAAGTTGACTACACCTGAGTGTGCTTGTTTCCACAGAGACATCCCGTTTGCAGTGTCCCACTGCATTTTGCAAAAAACCGATTCATTCGAATTTCAAACACACATAATGTGTGTTCACTAAACAGTCCAGTTTTATTGAGGGTTTTCGCGATTGAAAAATCCGCCAGATGGCAATACGTAGACGGGAGGTCCAAATACTGCATGATTGGTTATTTTTGACATGACATTGACAGATATGTCAAAATCCACTGTCTGGCGGATTTTTCAATCGCGAAAACCCTCATTGCCGTGGAAACAAACCCCTACGGTACATCAAGTGCAACATTTGCAACGCAAATGTCTTTATAGGGTCCATGCGCCACAATTTTTTTCAGGCGCACGAATTAATAAATCTTCGAATATTTTTGTTAGTTTCTCTAACCGCTAACTGCTATGTCTAAATTCACTTACTATTTCCGCTCCGAAAATTCAATATGTACCTACCTAATTGTAAGAATAAAGGTTTTTTTTTAACATACATTTATTGGTCGCAAACTTGATTAAATTTAATTGACTGAAAAACTTACTTTGGTAGTCACAAAGCAACTAAAATAAATTTATAGTATCTGCGAGTGCGTAACTACAGATTACAAAATTAATTTTTTTTTTTTACAAAAAGTGTTGCAGGATGGGTTGTGCTAGACCGATACTTATGCAAGCAAAACAACAGGCACGAAGCTAGTTTGCAGTTAAATATTATATTATAATAAATTAAAACCTCTTTCGGAAAAAAAATTGCCGCGATTAAACTTTGAGTTAATGTCAAATTGAATTTGACATACTACGTCATCCAACCTCGCCAGTTTGTTGACTGCGCACAAGCGCAAGCGCAGGCGAGCCGACAACACCGTGTCGGCCATTTTAGAAATTCGTATTTCGAATTAGATTGCGTTTATTCTTTATTTTGTGCCAGGATGGCGACCACCGTGCCATATCACACGTAAGTTTTGTTTTTATTACAAAAAGGTTTTAGTTTCTGAATGAAGGTGTAGTGAAAGTATTGAACTAAATATTCATTTGATGTGGTAATTTTCAACGAGTGGACAATGTAATTTTGCAAATGTATATTCATTAGCTTTTCACTAGCATTTTGCCCTGGCTTGCTCGTTCTGAAATTGATGAATACCTACTACAATTATTTACCTCTAACACTGTAACAAACCTGATTAAAATTTTTTGATTTGATTGTATCTGGATTGCATAATTAGGAGCAAAGGCACAACAATGTTCTAATTTCATCAAATTTTAATCAAACGTACTCGTACATTTTCAATTTCACAAAACAAGCTGAAGGAGTGACTCATGACATGGAAGAGTATTCAATACAACGTTAATTATTTAAGTATATAAAGATATCTTAAATTTCTTAAATTTTCTATTTTTAAAAGTTGTCCATATTTTTTTAAAAGTTGTCCAAAAGTAATAACATAAATGTTCTTACTGAGTTAAGCGCTAAACCTAGTATACTTACAATCTAAATAAATAAATAAATTTTATCGAGCGAGTACCAATTTGGGATTAGTTTTTCTTATTTTAATTAGGTCGATTCAAACCTGCTAACTAAACTGGACATAATTATGTATCACAGTATACCAAAGACATTTCCTTCCTCATCGTATGTCTTATGTTTTCCTCATTTTTATTATTTTAGTTACAGTCCAAATTCTTATAAATACTGTTCGAATTGAATTGTACCTTATGGACTTTTGTAATACCGTCAGTGTAGCTTTTAAGAAATTTGAACCTTCATACAATATTCATTGGATCGAAGACATTATAGGTACAGTTATCAACACATCAGACGATTTGTTGTAAAATAACACCTAAATACTACCACATAAGATGCCACACAGTTCCGTCTATATTACCCACTATGTTTTCCTGTTCAAACTGGTTTCTTGATCTTCGATCAAGCCAGTTTTGTTTTCCATTGATAACTAAGGTTCGGCCAAACCAACGCGTGCAGCCTGCGTGCGTGCTATAGATTACCGTGAATTGTTATATTTGTTGCAGAATGTCGACGTCTGAGCCGCTGTTTAAGAAGTGCTTCTGTATCCCCTTGAAGACTGGATGCTTTATCTTGTCGTATTTAATCCTGGTAAGTCAATGATAATCTAAATATATAAAAGGAGAAACTGACTGACTGACTGACAGATCAACGCACAGCCTAAACGGCTAAACGTAGGCACTTGAAATTTGGAAGGGACGTAGCTTAGGTACCGTAGAGGTGCACTAAGAAAGGAATTCCCGAAATTCCCACGGGAACGGGAATTAGCGGGAAAAACGGAATTCACGCGTACGAAGTCGCGGGCGGCCGCTAGTCTAAATATATAAAAGGAGAAACTGACTGACTGACATATCAAAGCGCAGCCTAAACGGCTAAACATAGGTACTTGAAATTTGGAAGGGACGTAGCTTAGGTACCGTAGAGGTGCACTAAGAAAGGAATTCCCGAAATTCCCACGGGAATGGGAGTTAGCGGGAAAAAACATTTGTATGAAAAAATCTAAACCACGTAAGATAGATGAAGGGGGTAAAACGGGATCCACGCGTACGACGTCGCGGGCGGCCGCTAGTAATTTATATAGACTAATATTACAAAGCTAAAGAGTTCGTTTCTTTAAATGCGTTAATCTCTGGAACTACTGGTCCGATTTGAAAAATGTTGCAAAAACGGTAAATATTATTCAAACTATTTTCAAGCGTACGAAATCGTGGGCATGGCCCCGCATCTAAATTAACAATTCCAAACACACGTTTCAACCACTGACGTCCACTGCTGGACTAAGGCCTCCCCCAAGAATATCCACAACAACCGGTTCTGCGCCGCCCGCATCTAGGCACCTACCACGACCTTCACCAGATCGTCGGTCTACCTAGTGAGAGGCCTGCGCTCACTACACCAAATACCATTGGTATTATTAGACTGGCCACTGGAGAACTTTTCTGCCCCATCGACCACCAGCTCGAGCTATGTGCACCGCCCACTGCCACTTGATTTTAGCAATTTTTCGGACTACATCAGTCATTTTAGTTCTCCTGCGGGTCTACTCAATATAACTAACTACTTTTCAGGCCTTCAGCTCACTCCAAGTCCTGGGCCTCCTGGTTGTGACAACATACGTCGGCGTCGCGACCCATGGCTTCGACCACTTTGACCGTCCATATGACACAATAGAGGTGAAGTCGGTCAACCAGTACGGTCTACAGCTGATAGCCATTCTGTGCTTCAATGTGGCGTGGCTGGCTATCAACATAGCTTGCCTGGTTGGACTGCACAAGGTATGTATCAACATTGTCGTCGTAGTTCTTTGACATCCAAAGTAACTCAAAGAATAATAAATCATCCAGTGCTTTTACTATAAAATAGTCTAATGGCCTGTGGACTTAAGATTAAACTAAGTGTTTAAAAAAAAGACCAATCCCACAATACTTTCTCACCACCGCAACTCCTGTTTACAGCTTGGCCTCCAATGAAACCCAACCAGTGAAGGTTGAGTGGTCCCGGGTCCCGGGACCCGGGGGATAGTTAACTATCTTGGAACCCACAACGAATTTAAAGGGAGAAATTCACAATAAACATAAATTTTAAATTTTAAGAATGAGAAAACACGACATCCAAATGGAATATAAATTAGGGGGACCTATCACATGAGCTGTTAACTAATTGCTAGTAATAGGCGTAGCAAAACGGTCGAAAGCACGGAATTTTTTCCTTCTCGCGACAAGATCTGTGTAGTAAATAGAAAATTATGTTAAATAGTTTTGTTTTATGTTTAAGTTTTATTCTCCTAATAGCTTCATTATTTTATATTAAAATTTGTCACAGAAACGTCCAGGCCCAGTCCGCGTGTACGTGGCCTTCGCGACCGCCCGCCTCCTGCTGTCGTTCGCTGGTTTCTTTTCCAGCATGATGACCATTTCCACCACCAAAGCCATCATCATCCATAGCATTGATATTGGTAAGCCTGTGTATATAAGATTTTAGTAAAACTATTACTACCAAGTCCCCGAAAGATCGATGATCTGGTGAAGGTCGCGGGTGANACGGGTGGCACCTGGCTGCGGGTAGCGTATGACCAGTCATTGTGGAAATTGTTGGGGGTTGGGAGTCCTTTGTCCAGCTGTGGACGTCATTTGTTCGGAGTGGATTGTGTGACCGCCTCACCACAATAGTGAAACGGACGGGGTTCCGACTATCGACCCTCGAATCGGTCATCTAATGCTGACACCGTTACGCTATTGTTTTCTAAGATTAACATTTAACCTTCATGATTTTCCTAGGGTCCACCTTTATAATATCAAAAGTGGATACTGGTTCATTTGAGTGTTCATGTGAAAATAACAAAATTAATGTAAAAAGCTCCTTATTGACAAAAATAGATGAAACCGATTTTTGAAAATTCCATGCTTATTTCCAGCTGTAACAATATGCTTCATCCCGGTATACTGCGTGTACGCGGCTCAGCTGCAGAGGGACCAGGAGGAGGCTCCAAAAGTGCCCCCGAGTGCCCCAGTGTCTGATAATAATATTTCCTTCATCATCCCACCCCTGGTGGACAAGAAGACCCTGGTTGTCTAGATCTGATTTGCGTTCAAACCTAGCTATGAACATGCATAGCCTTCTAAGTATTCAAGCACTAGACAAGATGTTTAGCGTTGTGCTTTAAGGCTAATTATGATTGCTCGCAGGTTTGCACGCTGTAGTAAACAGGTTTAGATCACACTTTTTAAAACCTACTGTAACTCTTTATACGTGCAGCCTGTGGACAAATTACACCCAAAGACCATACAGGGCCCTGCGTACTCAGTATAATGACGCATTCAGGATGCTGATGGGGCTGCAACGTTACTGCAGTGCATCAGGGATGCTGGCAGAAGCTGGAGTAGATAACTTTGCTGCCATTTTAAGAAATCGCACGGCGTCCCTGATCCACCGTGTGAATGGCAGCCCCAACAGCCTCCTGCAGAGTGTCGCAGCACTGGACACGAGTCCACCTTGTCAAATACACCAAACTGTCTTATTTTGTGTGTAATTATTGTGATTTACTAAGATAATTTCTAAGACCTTTGTTACTAACACTTTAATGGGTCATGCCTGAAATAAATCACTTTTATTTATTTATTTATTTCAAACTTATATTGTAAGAATGAAAGATAGATCTTTAAATAAATCATCTCTATGTCCATTTATTTTGTATTTTCATTGACGATTTTTTTTTTTCAATTTTTTACACATAAAAGGAAATTCAGAAATTTTCGGTATAAAAGTAATAATAATAAGGTATGTAATGCCCGTGCGCAGAAATGCTGTTTAAAGTTGTAATTAGAGGTTCCCAAAGGAAACATCTTTATTTTTCACGGTAAGAACCAGATTTTTCGCAAAATTTGTAGTCTGGGAAAACCAACCTTACAAAAGATACAAAGATTAACAAATCGATGATTCATTAATATTACGTAACATCCTCAATTTATAGACTTGGGACATTATGCAGTGGAACTCATAAACAAGTTGTTGATACGAGAATATACCTACTCATACTTAAGAGCGTTTACGCGAAGCGCGGCGTTTCAAGGGGCATCATTGGAAATGATTCGCGCGCGGCGTTTTTTAATAGTTTCCAAATGTTTATAGCAAAACAATAACAATGAATTATATATCTTTTCAAAGTAAATATTTTAAAGAAGATGTTATTTTATTATATTAGGCTATTTTTATGTTGAATTAAAGAAGAATAATGGTGTAATAATCACTTTGATTTTTGGGTATTTCACGTTTTTTTAATTTGTGATTTCTTATTGTAAAATGCTTAAATCTAANGCGGGTGATACCTGACTGCGGACAGCCCATAACCAGTCATTGTGGAAATTGTCGGGGGAGTCCTTTGTCCAGCTGTGGACGTCATTTGTTCGGAGTGGATTGTGTGACCGCCTCACCACAATAGTGAAACGGACGACGGGGTTCCAACTATCGACCCTCGAATCGGTCATCTAACGCTGACACCGTTGGGCTAATGTTTCCTAAGATTAACATTTAACCTTCATGATTTTCCTAAGGTCCACCTTTATATCAAAAGTCGATACTGGTTCATTTGAGTGTTCATGTGAAAATAACAAAATTAATGTAAAAAGCTCAAATTCAAATTCAAATGTTTATTGCATGTCACATTACAATTTATATGTTGTTGCAAAATAGAGGTATATGTGACGCCCTGCAAGGGCACAGCAAAACATCAGAGAGAGGGTTAGTCATAGGGTCATAGTAGCCTTTATTTATTAGGAATGATTTTAGCGTTTTGTTGAACAGTGTTGATTTTTCTAGATTTTTAATGTTATTCGGTATTTATGATTGTAAATTTTTATTAGTATCGTCGGAGGGCTACATGTAACTAATTTTAATTTGGAAAAAGGTACTTTAAGTTTATTTTGGTTTCTATTATTTCTCTTACCTTCCAGTGGTGAGTATAACTTTGGGTGGCTCCTAACAAAACTCCTCCTCCTTATTAACAAAAATAGATGGAACGGATTTTTGAAAATGCCATGCTTTTTTCCAGCTGTAACAATATGCTTCATCCCGGTATACTGCGTGTACGCGGCTCAGCTGCAAAGGGACCAGGAGGAGGCTCCAAAAGTGCCCCCGAGTGCCCCAGTGTCTGATAATAATATTTCCTTCATCATTCCACCCCTGGTGGACAAGAAGAAACTAGTTGTCTAGATCTGATTTGCGTTGTTAATTTTAGCCATAAACGTGCAAAGCCTCCTAAGTATTCAAGTACTATAGTCTGGTTGCTGAGCACGTAGAATTTTGTCCAATGACCCCAAGCTACCTATCCTTATCGCTCGCGCGTAATGACATTGCTGTCGCGACTGTGCAACGGGCGGCAGCAGTGAGTCTAAGTAGACAAGATGTTTAGCGTTGTGCTTTAAGGCTAATAATGATTGCTCGCAGGTTTTCACGCTGTACACTTTTTGAAACCTACTGTAACTCTTTATGCGTGCAGCCTGTGGATAAATTACACCCAAAGACCATACGGGGCTCTGCGCTCTCAGTATAATGACGCATTCAGGATGCTGATGGGGACGTTACCGCAGTATACGTCAGGGATGCTGGCAGAAGCTGAAGTAGATAGCTTTGCTGCCATTTTAAGAAATCGCACGGCGTCCCTGATCCACCATGTGAATGGCAGCCCCAACAGCCTCCTGCAGAGTGTCGCAGCACTGGACACGCGTCCACCTTGCAAAATACACCAAACTGTCTTATTTTGTGTGTAATTATTGTGATTTACTAACATAATTTCTAAGACCTTTGTTACTAACACTTTTATGGGCCATGCCTGAAATAAATAACTTTTATTTATTTATTTATTTCAAACTTATATTGTAAGAATGAAAGATAGATCTTTTAATAAATCATCTCTATGTCCATTTATTTTGTATTTTCATTGATTTTTTCAATTTTTACATATAAAAGGATCCTATTCAGAACTATTAGGTGTAAAAGTTATAAAAAAAAAACATACGGGTCGAATTGAGAACCTCCTCCTTTTTTTGAAGTCGGTTGATAAGGTAAAACCCGTGCGCAGAAATGCTGTTTCAAGTTGTAATTAGAGGTTCCCAAAGGAAAAATCTTTATTTTTCACGGTAAAAACCGAATTTTTCGCAAAATTTGTAGTCTGGGAAAACCAATCTTGCAAAAGATACAAAGATTAACGAATCGATGATTCATAAATATTACGTAACATCATCAATTTTATTTATAGACTTGGGACATTATGTAGTGGAACTCATAAACAAGTTGTTGATACGAGAATATTACCTACTCATACTTAATGTATTTACAAGTCGCCATACACTTTTCAATTTAAATTTTGAACATCATTTATTTAATACTTGGTTTACTTGCACACCTGAGTGTACTCTAAACTAAAGGCTTGTTCCCATGCCTGTTTTTTAGGATCCGGTTTAGTATAAATTAACGTTCACACACACACGTAAAGGTAGCAGGGAAGCGCTGGACGTAGGCCGCTACCAATCGATCAACGTGGATAGCATTAGGGGAGGCCTAAGTTCAGCAGTGAACGTCCTATGGCTGAAATGATGATGATGATGATGATGACACACACGTTTGCAGTGTCCCGCAAAAACCGAACACACGACAGTCCAGTTTTGATTGCCGTGGGAACGAACCCTTACGGTATATCAAGTGCAACAATTGCACCGTAAATGTCATTATAGGTCCCATGCGCCACACATTTTTCAGGCGCGCGTTAGCTGCGTTAATTAACTCGAACTAGAATAAATAAACCTTCATCATCATCATCATTTAAGCCATAGGACGTCTGCTGAACATAGTTGACATTCCCCAATGATTTCCATGTTTCCCTGTTTGTTCTTGTTTGAAATGATTTTTTTAACAAAAAGTGTTGCAAGATACGCTGTGCTAGACCGATCCTACTTAGGCAAGCAAAGCAACAGGCAAAAAGCTTGTTTGTAATTAAATGTATTTTTAAATTTAAAAAACCTCTTTTAGAAAAAAAGATGTCGCTATTAAACTTTGAGTTAATGCCAAATTACATTTTTTAAAGGAAGCGTTAAACCATGACTTTAAGTTAACTTATTTTTAAACACATTTGGTCATCATTACTGATTACCGTATCATAATAATACCTACTTAAGTATACTGAAAAGTAACTACGTAACAATATACCGAGTCTCATTCGAGACTGGCAGGCGGTCATATAGGTAATAGATATAGCGGGCTTATTCTGACTATCCGAGATTAAAACGGGTTATACAAAATTATTTTTAAATCTGTAGTAAAGAGGAGTTTTTATAAGACTTGTTGACTTTCTCTAACAGGATAAAGATTGTCTTCTCACTCCTATCTATCTTTCAAGAAATAAAGATTTAAAAAATAATTTTCAATGGTAGATACCATTTAAGTACTGGCTTCTATTTTAGTATTCCAGTAATAGGGGAAGCCCCAATTTTCTATTCCTCGCTAGCTACACATCGGTTAAAAACATTTTATCATACCGCTTCAAGACAAAAACAATACAAGTTCGTGTCGTCGGAATACACCGATTGCCTACGTCATCCAACCTCGCCAGTTTGTTGATCTGCGCACAAGTGCAAGCGCAGGCGAGCCGTCAACACCGTGTCGGCCATTTTGGCAATTCGCATTTCGAATTGTATTGTGTTTATTCTTTATTTTGTGCCAGGATGGCGACCACCGTGCCATATAACACGTAAGTTTTGTTTTTTATTACAAAAAGGTTTTAGTTAGCGAATGACCTTGCAGTAAAAGTATTGAACTAAATACTCATTTGATGTGGTAATTTTGAACGTGTGAATCTGCACCGAATTGTAACACAATGGTCATGTAACATTGTTAAGTATAATTCATTAGTTTTTTACTAGCATTTTTCCCCTGACTTGCTCGTTCTGAAATTGATTAATACCCACTACAATTTCTTAATATTAACGGTACAGAAAATCTCGAAGATGATTATTAATTTAAGACTACGAGTATCTAAAGCTGCAAATAAAATAAATATCTTAACTGGATTGCATAATTCAGAATAAGTGCACAACAATGTTCTAATTTCATCAAATTGAAATAAAATTTACATTTTCAATGTCACAAAACAAGGTCGAGTGAAAATTAAGGCTACACTATAAACACGTATTGTTTTCTATGTTTTTTTTCCTGTTCATTGTGTATGTCTTGTTAGCTGTCCTTAAATAAATAAATAAAATAAATAAAATAACTCATATAAAACAGTATGAAACTCAACTAAAATTATTTAAGTGTGTAAATTTTTTTTTTATCTTATTATCGTCCAATTTGACTTTTAAATTCAAGTTGAATCCACTAAACTTTCAATTTACTAATTTTAAATGTTATCCATCTATCTTTTGGCCTAAAAAAAGTAATAGCGAAGATTCTTACCTGACCTTCTTACTTTTGTATTCGTATCGCGAATGTTATTTTGGGTTAATATTTATAATTAGCGTAAACTAAAATATTTTATGAGTGAATTCTTAATAGGCACAGTGCGTTGTTAAAATAAAACGAAATCAAATTACCTTTTAAGTGTTTCCGGTAGATAAGAAATAAGTATTTTAATTGTTTTGAATCATGCGATTAAAACATTTTAATCAACTTTGTTCTTTATTAAGTATATTGGTAAGAAATAGTGTTATTTTTAGCTTCGCTTTGGTGTGTTTAGAAATATTAAAAACCTAATTTCGTAAGGAATATCTGGCACTGCCTACAACCAAAAGTAATTATCAATATAACTAGGTAGTTTTTTTTTTTGTATTGGTACAGTCCTTTTGCAATTTGAAATTTACAGATAAACGGAGATACTAACGGAACTTTTTTTTCTTCAACGTTCTGAGTCTCTGAACTAATTTTGTTGAGTTTGATTTTGAATTCTTTCGTGTTCAATTTCTTAGCAACATTTAGCCAGTCACAAGACGTAAGAGGCTAAATATAGTGTAATAATCAATACTTAGTCAAGTTTGTTTTGGTCCGAGACAACGACAAGTGACCAAAACATTCTTATTGTGTAGCGGTTAACTCAGTCACTGCCTGAGGTATGAGAGCAGCACGAACAGTCATAACATAATCAAAATTTTGATTGTTTTTGGACCTTCAGGTTCAAATACAAAAAGACGGATAAGGTTCAAAATATGGTGGGAACTATATTCCCACTGCCTTTAAAGGCTTAAATGCTAGACTTTTATTCAATCTATGTACTTATGTTTAATAACTTCTATTGAGTAAGTACCAAGTTGGGATTTGTTTTTTTTTAGTGAGGTTGATTCAAACCTTACTAAACTAGACCCGTTACAAAATACCACTGACATTTCCTTCCTCATCTTCGTTATTTTAGTTCCAGTTCTTATGAATACCATTAGATCTGATTTTTTTTATGCAGTCATGTAATAATATATTCCGTCAATATATTTTTTAAGAAATGTGGACCCTAATACAGTATTCAATCGAGCGAAGACATTATAGCATCAACAGCACATCGGACTACACATTGTCACAAAATAGTACCTATTACCACCGTATAAGAACCAACAGTTTTAGTTTATGGCGCCGCCGTCTGTCGTCTGTGCCCAGCTTGTTTTTCTGTTCAAACCAGTTTCTTGATAGAAGTCACAGTTTTGTTTTCTTTTTTGATAACTACATTAGACAAATCGATCGAGTTAACTGCGCACCTGGCTGGAATGCGACTCTTCCTCAGCCTTCCTCTCGTACTCACACTTCCCCGTATTGGCACAGAATAAGTAATAGTAAAGGTACAGAAGGATTACTCCGCAAGACGATTTAAATAAATGCGAGTCTTGCTACGACGCGATACAGTGGAATTCAGCTCGCACAGCACTGCGTACCTACAATTTTATTCACCTACAAGTTTTGTCTCTTTCTATCGCGTGCCTCTGAACTTTTCTTACGCTGTTAGGGTTGCTGTCTAGTGAAAAAATAATTAATCTACTTATTTGTAATGAGGTACGTACGTAGGTAAAGTATTACTGTTATTTTACCTTTGTAAAAATAACATTTCAAATATACCTACTTAGGATTAAAAAAAACTTATTTTATTACAATGTCTTCATTGATACCTATTTTAACACAAGACGAATAAATTAAACATACTATTACAGAAAAAAAGAAGAATCCTATACTATCCTAAGAATTATTGATTACCGACATGGCCAACATACCTTTCATCATCATTCTTTGGGAAGCGAAAAAAAAGATAAATCCGGTAGATTTCTTTTCGAATTTAAACACCCGAACGCCGCACAATATTTCTTTCTCTTTATGTCCATTTTTAAATAATACTTCGATCATAGAATTAGGTACATACTACAACGCACGCCAGCGTCCTGACGGGCGCGCGCTGACACTCGACTGATATAATACCCGCCGGCGGGGCGCTTCGCTGTAGGTAATTATCGGATGTACCGCGCGGAGTGAGCCAGGCCTGGTATTGGTACCCGTAACAGCGCCCCGATTGCGCTAAATATTTTCAACTGCAACGCGACTGAACTATGAACGAAAATCTGCGTCTTTGTGTAAAAGCTGTCAGAAAGCTACTTTACTCAAACGCTTCACGAACATTTGCTGTGTTTTAATAATAATAGTAAAAAAAAACAAGGTGTTCGGACTTTTAATGGAAAGTGCTGAAATTCGTTGTTTCGTCTTTGTTTGCGCATGAACTTTATCGTGATACCGAATTGCACATTAGCTGGAATGAAAATGGAGTGTAGATTAAAGTTGAAACGCGAATGAATTGCGAGACATTACAAATTAGTGCAACGCAGAGCGTTGACGTGACGTCATAGCTGCCAGGTACGCAGTTAACTCGACCGAGTTGTTAGTACCGAAGCAAAGCCAAAAATTTACGTATACAAACTTAAACTTTTTCCGGTAGAAACAGCAAAAATGAAGGTAATGCTCAGATTACGTGATATTTCTTACGACCATAATGTTACAACCATCTAGGTTACTTAATATAATAATGAAATAACAAAATTAACATAAAGGAAGTCACGTTTTGTGAAAAAATAGATTAGGTTATGATACCAAGACAAGATTTTTCAAACCAAAATAACGGACTGAATATACGTTTCAGTTTCAGTACCCATGTTAGCTTTTATTTTGTATTCTATGACCAGCGGCTATCGATGTTATAAAAACGTAACGTAACCATCAAACTGCACTTTTGTAGCGGATCGTCAACACAAAACGGCTACCGTCATGTGAGCCTTTTGATATGAATACAATGCAGTCAGACAGTTTTATTATTCCTCTATGTGTGCAGTCGCTCGTAACAATAACAGAATGATTCTAGACTTGTATACGCGTTGAGGTTAGTTAATCTACATATTATAATTATGGAATAATATACTTACTTATCTATTAATATTACACACTAGCGCGTAAGCGGCCGCCCGCGATTTCGTACGCGTGGACCCCGTTTTACCCCCTTAGGCGTTGAATTTTTGAAAATCCCGTCTTAGTGAGATCCCGTCTAAAAAGAACTTACATGCAAAGTTTGAGACTCCTGTACTTGTAGTTTCTGAGTTTTCGTGATGAGTGAGTGAGTCAGTCTTGCTTGCTTGGACGCGCTAATCTCAAGAACTACTGGTCCGATTTGAAAAAAATATATATCACTAGCTTTCCGCCCGCGGCTTCGCCCGCGTGGAATTTTGTCTGTCACAGAAAAACTTTATCGCGCGCGTCCCTGTTTCAAAAACCGGGATAAAAACTATCCTATGTTCTTTCCCGGGACTCAAACTATCTCTATGCCAAATTTTATCAAAATCGGTTGCGAGGTTTAAGCGGGAAAGCGTAACAGACAGACAGACAGACAGACAGAGTTACGTTCGCATTTATAATATTAGTTGGGAAGTTGGGATTTATATAAATCATCCTGCACCCAATAGGGGCGGAGCAGTATCTAAAAATGTTGCAACAACAACGGGTAATATTATTCAAACTATTTTCACACGTATGAAGTGCGGGCACAGCTAGTTAAAACAGCATTTATGAGTATGTGGCTTTATAAAGTGGAAGCTGGTCAAAAAATTTAATGACCAGTGAGTAGGTACCTATGTCTGTCACAAACAATGTCACCCAGTGGTGTGTGTAATCAATGATTGTCACAACACGTCAACGCAGATTACTGTCTTGACTGACTTGTCACAAACCGACCCAGGTCTGCATGCGTCGGTGACCTTCGTTCCGACTGAATACTCGTGACTATATTAACCCATTATATTGTGTACAGGGTGATTTACATATTTGACGCCCTGAATAACGCAAATAACCACGAAGCCGAACGGTGAAGGGGTCGGACTGGCCAACTCCAGATCCGAGGAACGCGGGTTCGAATCCCACCGCCGCTCNGCGGGTTCGCTCGACTATTGTGGTGAGCCCACTCGTAACACAAGCTTATTTAGCTAAACACGAGGGGCAAACGGGACTATTAATAATTTGAAATTGCTGATAATCTTTTTTTTTAAGTGTGGGAAAGCCAGGACGAATGGCTAGGTATAGTCAACATAACATCGTTTTCGTTGAAAATACAACCACCTGTTTACATTGACCACTGTCTATACACCTAATAAAAAATTAAACAGGACACTGCACTAAGATATCTACTATAGCGTCCATTTTCTTAAGCCCCTCTAGCAGTACTACGTGTTTAATAACAAGCCGATTGTTATGCATTACCAAGAATTGTTGTATTTATTGCAGGATGTCGACGTCTGAGCCGCTGTTTAAGAAGTGCTGCTTCTGTTTTCCCTTGAGGACTGGATGCCTCATCTTGGGGTATTTGAACCTGGTATGTCAATGATAATCATTATAATTTTAGCCACATGACGTCGCTGAATATAGGCCTCCCACTCCCACAGTGATTTCCACATCACCCGCTTGGTAGCAGCCTGCATCCAGCGCTTTCCTGCTACCTTTATGAGGTCGCCCGTCCGCCTTGTGGGTGGACATTATATCAAATTTTAAAATTTCACGTCCAATCAAAATAGATCTACTTCATAAAAATCTCGCATTGGGGCTCTTATTTCTCTATTTTAATCATCATTATAATCAATCATCAGCAGCCTCTAGATTTCTAGAAGCACTGCACAGTACACGGTCTGTATAAGAACTCCAATACGAAACACCGATTTTGATGTTCAATTAACTCGCTAGGTCATACTGATTTATTAAATACTCAGCTATTAAAATTTAATGAGGTTTCTCTTTCTGAGATTTTGATTTTGGCTAATTGGGTTACACCTTTGCAAACTTTGTACAACAATTTAGTAAAGAAGTAGGTACATTTTAGGGATAATAATCATGGCCCCGTATCGAAATCAACATTTTCAAACAGATAAAAATTTACATTCTAGTCTTTTACAGCTAAGTAACTCTCGAAGGTAACAGACTTCGACCCATGCAGCGCAGTTAAAATAACTAACTTTTTATCTTTTCAGGCCTTCAACTTACTTTACACCCTGGGCATCCTGGGGCTGATAGTAACCATTGGCATCGCGACCGATAACTTTGAACACTTCGAACGGTTCAACCGGCAACCATACGATAATTTAGAACCAACTCCTGAAGTGGAGTCGGTGGATCCTAGTCTCTACCAGTTCGTTATACTGCTGATAGTCATTGTGTGCTCCAATGTCGTGTGGTTAGCAATCAACATAGCATGCCTGGTTGTACTGCACAAGGTATGTATTATCAACATTGTCATCGTTCAATCAACGTCAAATAGTTCTTGACATCCAAAGTAGCACAAAACACGTCTTTGTTACAATTGGAATAAGGTTGTAATGATTAACCTTTTGGCCACTTTGGGTGTCACGAAATATTTGTATGTTCATATATCTCGCAATGTGCCCATCATATCTTGTGGGAGTGTGATCTTTGGAAACATGAACGTGATTTAATGCTTAATTCAATACAACATACATCTGTTTCCGCAATTTATTACACCGATCTTGTCGCGACAAGGAAATATTTCCGTAGTTTTAGTGATTTTTGAAAAATATTATTGGCACGTAGTTGCTAATTGCTCATAAGATTGGCTTGGATTTGGCTTACAACTTTCACGCTGGCCAGACGAGTTGGCAGCCTTGAAAATCTCTTTTTCTTTATTTCTAACAAACAAGCATATTTTATAAATTACTTACTTTACTATATTGTTTATCGGTGTAAAAACCATGCTAACTAGAATAAGTACAAAGATAGCCAAAAGCTCTTCTCTCTTAATGTGCAAAAACTACAAATTACTCGTAAACAAGCAAAAACGCGCATCGCTCACACCTTTCAACAATGAAACGGTGTCATTAAACTAATGGATATTAATGTTATTAAATCTAACAGCTAGCAAAAAAGGGTTGAAGTACAATGTGAATCCATTTATTTTCTAGTTGGTTTGAGGTAATTTTGCCAGATGAATGAAAAAAAAACAGAAACATTAGTTATTTCAAATTATTTTCATTTTAAGAATTTAAGCTTAATAGCAGAAAATAATAACACGAACAAAAAAGTGGACGCTATTGTATGGACATTTAAACATTCTGTTTTAATAAAATAATAATAATAACTTTATTTGTCCAAAACACAATCGTGATGTTAAATAAGGTACATGTTAAAAAAAAAAGTTGGATGCATTCCAGCCCGATTGCGTCCAAATTATTTATAATTTTGTGAATCATTGAGCTTATTAGGTATGCATGCTTATATATTAATCTGCATTAGGTACCAATGTCGTTGACTGTTGTGGTTTTTTTTAAAGGACACGTGCATATTATGTACTCAATCACTTTTACTCAAATAGTTACTTACTGCATTATATTGTTAGGTCATAGTACGACCTCTATTAAATTGATTGAATAATAAAATATTATTTAATACGAGTTTCTCAATAGAAATCAATTTTAACCGCGGTCTTCTAAGACTTACCGCAATCTCATGCATCCTGATAAGGTTCCACGGGTTAAAAAAAAATCAAATAATACATTTATGTTTGTTCTATTTTCATAATATTTTTTCATATTGTTGTCACAGAAACGTCCAGGCCCGGTCCGCATGTTCGTGGGCTTTGCTACAGCCCACCTCCTACTGACGCTCGCTGGCTTTGTCTTCTACGTCATGAACTCCAACAGACAAGCCATCATGAACCATAGCATTGATTTTGGTAAGCCTATTTATGTCATCATCATCATTTTCATGGGGAAATCATTGGGGGGGGCTATGTTCACCATAGGACGATCATTGGTGAACATAGGCCTCCCCCAATTATTTCCACATAGCCCGGTTGGTAGCGGCCTGCATCCAGCGCCTTCCTGCTACCTTTAATTCCTTTGGTCGACCCACTTTTTCCGCTATTTATATAAGATTTTTTTCCCCCGAAAGACCGATGTTCTGGTGAAAGTCGCTGGAAGCACCTGGAATCGATGCTGGCAGTGCATGACAAGTCGTTGGGGAAACCCTTAGGGGAGTCCTATGTCCAGCTGTAAATGTCATTTGGCTTCAACGAAAAATTCAAGTAAAAAGCTCATATAAATCATTGACAAAAAATAGATGACATCCATTTTTGAATATTTCGTGTTTTTTTCCAGTTCTAACGGCATGTTTCGTCCTGGTATACTACGTGTACGCGACTCAGCTGACGAGGGTCCAGGAGGAGGCTCCGGAAGAGTCCCCTAGTGCCCCATCCGATAATATAGCCTACATCATCCCACCCCTGGTGGACAAGAAGACCCTGGTTGTCTAGATTAAGCCTAGTCATAAGCATGCAACGCCTTAGAGCTATTTTTTTTACCGGGACACCATGGCGGCGCGCCGCAACCAGTCACCGCTACCAACAAAATGTATGTTTGCGCAACTAAACGGACACCAGTGTGCTTACCATGAGTTTACGTTAGGTGTGGTCGCTAGCGACTGCGTAAAAAAAAAGACATTAAATGTATGACATATTGTGAAGCGCCCCTACCGGCTACTTTCAAGAAATACAATCTTCATAGAGTTTTTTGACGTACTCGCTAGCGAGCAGACTTAACGTAAACTCATGGTAAGCACACAGGTGAGTAACTCTCTATAGAGCTGTATACGTTTTATTGGTAGCGGCGACTGGTTGTGCCGCCATGGTGTCCCGGTGAAATATAGCCCTTAGTATTTAAGTACTAGAGAAGATGTTTAGAATAAAAATTATGCCACATTTGGTGTGATAAATAAGAAAGAAACAAAATGAATGTGCCTCGAGACAAAACGGTTTCTCGCATAAAGAAAATGCAGATCAAAGCAGGTATTTGACTAATGCTGGTTTTCTTTACTCAGTCTCAATCAAAATCCGTCTGTCAACTGTCAAATTTTAATTTGGTTTTGGTCAAAATACCCTTGGTTTGTTAAGTTTTTACTTTTCGCATTGTTCATAAGACTATTTAAATAATAAGAACGTGTAATAGCATCCTAAATAGTGGATATTATCTATAATTATAGAAATCCGGTACTAAGGTAGGTGCTAATGAGGTTAAATACAACCCTAGTGAGTCACAATCTTTGTTTTGAACAGCTTGTCTGGTACTGTAGCTACATAGAAGTTTTTGTGAAGATGTAAAATAATTAGTTATTTAATTTTTAGCGTTAAAAGTCGCATCTCAAACTAATTTAACAATTATAAATAACTTGAAAAAATCGAACTACTTAAGTCAGGAATTGAACCCACGGGAATTGAATATTTCGACGGGTTCATCCAGTGTCTAAGTAGCTCAGTTGGAAGAGCAATCACCCGGCAAGCGGAAGGCAGTTCGATTTTTTCAAGTTATTTATAATTTTCAAAATGTAAAATAATTATTTTTATGCTAGAGTTCACGGCGTTTTTATGCTAGAATCGGCGGCAATCTATAAATTAATCTCAATGATATAAGAAAAGTTATTTAAGTTTAATGTGATAATTTTATATTTGAATTACCTATTCTTCCACTTTTTATTGCAATAAAACTATATTAAGAAGCAGAAACAAACTGTGCTTGACCAAAATCGTAAACCCAAAAATAGTGTAGCTATGGTCAAAAAATTTAATGCTATTAATTTAAAATATTGTTGAATGAAGTTTAAACATTTCAAGATTGTAAGTTTTAATAAAAATATTTGTCTTAAAATATCCCTGTCTTTCATTTCTAAAGTATTTTTAATCAATCAAAAAATTTATGCGAAAACACATAGAATACATACCTACATAAGATGTAATTATTATACTCCACAGTGCACGGACAATTTCTCTTAGGGTTAGTTTTTTATCCATAATTAAATTAAGTAATTGCCAAAAGTACCGAGCAAGAAGAATTTCTATCAAGCCCAGTTTTTCATCCGTAGTGTGTAGTTTTTTTCATCCGTAGTTAAATTAGCCAATAATAAATTGTCAAATTTTATGCGCATTTTCGAAAGAAGGTTAGCTCGACTCCCAATACAATGTTTAACTATATTTTGTTATTTAACCTATTGGTAACAAGATTACCATTTTGTTATTCTTTAACCACTAGCGTACCGCCCGCGGGTTCGCCTGCGTGGAATTTTGTCTGTCACAGAAAAACTTTATCGCGCGCGTCCCTGATTAAAAACGATAAAAACTATCGTATGTCCTTTCCCGGGACTCAAACTATCTCTCCAAACATCAAAATCGGTTCAGTGGTTTAGGCGTGAAAGCAAGACAGACAGACAGAGTTACTTTCGCATTTATAATATTAAGTATAGAAGTATAGATTGGTAACAGTTTATTGATTTTTGAAACTACCATAAAAAACTGAGCCTTAATTTGTGTAGTATTTTTCTAACAACCCCATGTTACAGCTATACGAGTAAACCTCACAAAACATTAGGACTCAACATCGTGGCAGAGTTAATCTTGCGCAGACTCCCGGCTTTGGCTGTCGCCCTTCGTCATGTAACGGTCGGATTATCATTATGTCCAGTACACGGCACGACAGACCTACAAAACATTAAAGGCTGGAAATACAGGGTGTATTCTTCAGAAATTGTATTATTGTATTTGCTGCAAATAGGTTTCAAGCATTTATAGAGACTTGATTAGTTGCAAGTAACATTCATATTCTAAAAGCTATAGAAGATAGATAATTTAAAGTGCCTGAAGAATTCAAAGTGCCGCGCAGGACCGGTCGTTGTGAAAATGCTTGGAGGCATTTGTCCAGCTGTGGACGCAATACGGCTAAAACGAACGAAATAGAAGATTACCCATGAGTTTAAAAAACATCAGATATAAAGAAAAATACCTGGTACTTTAGTAATAAATAAACAAACAACGTTTTAATTGCGTTTTCCTTTTAGACTCAAACGTCGGTCCCCAAATGTCCTGTTCCGATTCATTAATATTTGATGTAACAAAGTACGTGTTCTAAGTTGTGAATTTGCACAAAGCACCGAGTGATCGATCAACGTCACTTAGACAGATTAAGCCGGGAGCTCTCAAGAAGTTGCGGAAATCTTTGCGCCGCCCTGTATATTCCGTGGAGGATGCACTGCGCTCATTTTGAGAAACGATATTGCATTTTGTCCTATTCAAATGGCCTATACGTATTTTCTATTTTACTGCAATACGCCACCCTATATGCCTCATGTCTCAGTTACAGGACTATGGACCTACGGAAATATATAGTTTCCCCAAAATCCAGTTGAGTTGCACCATCTATTTTTACTTTAACCAACTTCAATAATCACGTCAAAAATCTGTCAAACTCCATCAAAAAAACACCGGTTATTGTTATAGTTACGGCTAAAGTAAGTTGGTGCAACTCAGCCCTAGATTACAAAATAGAATGTCAAAAAAATATTCATTTGTCCAGCATTTCTCCCACAAAACTTCTCTCAATTCATCACGACACCCGCCTTAAGGTCGGGCCCGCAAATTGTTTTTTTATCTCTCACCTCCGTCATTTAAAACCATAGCTGTCTCGCGCCTCGCAATAGCCGACCTGCAGAAACTATTACGACAAAAGTTAAATCAGTTTTGTTGGCTCCTTGGGTCGGATTCATCTGGTTCCTGGTCTGCATGCAATTTTGTTTAGCGATTCTCGAAGAATTGTAAAATATTGCCGGGATTATTCCACTTTCGGCGGCTCGGACGACTTTTGATTTGAATTCGATGCTTCTTACTGATCTTCTGAAGTTTACTGTTTGAACTCTAACTTACATGTTTACATCTAAATAAGATGCTGGTAAGGATAATAAATAGTAGGATACATCGGCGGCCATTTCGTTTTGCGTCATTCTGATTTTCTACTCGTATTCTAGGTAAGTAATAAATATGGATACGTCATAATGTACTTCAGCAGAAATGTCAAACTTTAGTTCGTTTATGCCTATGACAGCTCAGAAAATCTTCATCTCAAGTTTGGGTTGTTTAAAATGAGGGCTTAGATTTATAAAAGACTGACAAAGCTCAATCACACATCTCTTTTTTTTGTCACGGAGGAAGTTTTGCGCCACTGCCGGGGGACAGGGTGGTGTGTCAGACTCCCGGCGCCCTGAAAAGGACGGGGTATACCCACTAAAACCTTCGCGACGTTCCTTCATCGCCCGAGTGGGGACGTCTACCCTAGATCAAATGAGTTGAACTGTCACTCCACTAATCAGGATCTGGATTAGACCATGACGAAATAGGCAAAATAGCGGTCGTACCTACTAATCTGTCTAGTCATAACAAATCATTTAATGCAAAGAACATTGAAGCCCCAATTTCGATACCAGCCCTACATTCCAAATCCCAGGTCCTCCAGAGGCATTTCATCATGCATACGCCCCGCGAGGACCGCTTACACCTGACGTATGGTTTAGGGCGATCCACACCGTCTGATTTGTAGACTGGATAATGGCGTATAAGTTTCCCCCCTCGTTAGTTTTGTGAGGATCCCCTTACACATCGTTTGGTAGACGATTTATTTTTGGATGGGCAGTGTTATTTTTACTTTTATTAGGCCAAGCTTTTGCTTGCGGCTTCGCACATTTGGAGTCTTTCACAGAAAATATTATTCGAACACATTAAATAGAACCTCCTCCGTTTTTGAAGTTGGTTTGAAAACTCTTGCATTTTATTTAACTCTCATGTATCCAAGATCAACAAGTTATGTAAAATGACATGTTCCAAGCATTACCACACTCGTAAGTACCTACTTTATTTTTGTTTCATTTCGCTATCTCACCAAAGGTAAATGCTAAGTATCCAAAAAGCCAAATTATTTACTTAATAACCATAACCATACCCTTTAGAGCTATTCTAGCAGTTATAAAGGCATTGGCAGGTTTAACTTAGATTTAGTTTAAATAATTTGAACAGTAGTGAATCTTTTACCAACATGAGATTTAGTACAGACCTCTATTCAGGGATTATAGGCTGGCATTAATGTATTCAATTTACACAGGGCCCGAGGGGTTATTACGTATCTTATGGATACTTAAGAAAGGTCAACTATTTAATTTGCAATAATTCTTAGTTAAAACTCGGTATACCAAAGCGACTTTAGTTTGTTTACCGAGGCAAAATGTTATAATCAATATTTTTTAGCTGTAAAACACTTTAAATCGCATACCTATTATTTTTTTAAGCACTATCAAATTAGTAGCTTAGTTGCCATGGGGACTGAGATCGTGGACCGGTGGGTATTAAAGACTCCATCAGTTAACTGCAAAAGCTATCTTGACGCTAGTTACACAAACAATAAGGTCCACCAAGGTGGAGGACCAAGACCAAGGAGCATAGAAATCTTTTGAATAATTAACCAGATTCAATTATTTCCACTTCTCTTCTCCACCTCGCACAACTTCGCCCCGCGCGGCGCCGCTGCGTCTGTCAGATTCTATAGAAAAATTTGACTGCC